AGCGGGGTTGGACTGGATGATCTCCAGAGGTCCCTTCCAACCCCATATCATTCCGTGATTCTGTGATTTGTAGCATCTCCCCTAAAGTATTTCCATGGTGGATACATGGGGGTACAAGTGCACGATGTGCTCAGATGAGGCTCAGGTGTTTTTACTTGCCCTTAGCCAAAGCCATTGAAAAACTCAGATAATATTCCTGCTTCTGACACGAGATTATGCTTCGGGAATGGCTACCCAAAGAAATAAAGCTGTGTATAGATAAGGAAGCATTTTGAAATGATGATTTTTTTTTTTCCCCAGCTAATAATTTTATTTTTTTTTAAACAACAACAAAGATTACATACCATCTAGTTAATAGGGTCTGGAGCTGAGATGTGCTCCTTCTAGGAGCTGAGCGGAGATGCCAGAGCCAATAACTCCCCTGAAGGATTTCTCCTTAATTTTCTCTCCTTCACTTTTCCAAAGCAACTCCCAAAGCAGTGACAACACCACAGCTTGCAGCCTGCATGGAGAAAGCTGGGATAATAAAAGTCATGTTAAATCTGTGCAGAGGGCTTGAGGCAGAAGGGGAGAAGCCCACAGGCTTTTCAGGGCTTGGGGTTGTCATGATCTCAGTGCCACCAAGAGCAAAAAAACAAGAGTCAAGCACAGGCTGCAAAGCTTGTGGCAATACTTAGAGAGGATGGAGGGAAATCTGGAGATTTTCTAGGCCAAAGAGCAGCCCTAAGGAGAAGGACTTGGGAGTGCTTGTGGATGAGAAGCTCAACATGAGCCGGCAGTGTGTGCTGGCAGCCCAGAGAGCCAACCGTGTCCTGGGCTGCATCAAGAGAAGCGTGGCCAGCAGGTCACGGGAGGTGATTCTACCCCTCTACTCTGCTCTTGTGAGACCCCACCTGGAGCCCTGTGTCCAGCTTTGGAGTCCTCAGCACAGGAAGGACATGGACCTGTTGAAACCAGTCCAGTGGAAGTGAAGGACATGGATCTGTTGGAACAGGTTCAGTGGAGGGCCACGAAGATGAAGCACCTCTCCTATGGAGACAGGCTGAGAGAGCTGGGGTTGTTCAGCCTGGAGAAGAGAAGGCTCCAGGGAGAACTCACAGCAGCCTTCCAATATCTGAAGAGAGCCTACAGGAGAGCTGGGGAGGGACTCTTTGTCAGGGAGTGTAGTGACAGGACAAAGGGTAAGTCTTTTAAATTCGTGACAGGACAAAGGGTAATGGTTTTAAATTCAGAGAGGGGAGATTTAGATTAGATACTAGAAATAAATTTTTTACTGTGAGGGAGGTGAGACACTGGAACAGGTTGCCCAGAGAAGCTGTGGCTGCCCCATCCCTGGAGGGGTTCAAGGCCAGGCTGGATGGGGCTTGGAGCAACCTGGTCTGGTGGGAGATGTCCCTGCCCAGGGCAGGGGAGTTGGAACTGGATGATCCTTAAGGTCCCTTCCAACTTTAATGATTCCATGATTCTATGATCCTATGAAAATGGTTTACAATATGATGAATATAAACCCTGCTATGAATCCATGTGCGGGAGGACAAACCCCAGCTTGGGCAATGATGTTTTGCTCCAGTAATGGTCAAAGAGATATTTTTTTTCTCTCTCCAATTAGCCCTAAAGCTGTGTCTGGTTGAACCACACAACCCTTAATGTGGCCTTTTCCCAGCAGCTCCAGTGACCTTGGCCCTGGCTTGTTTTTCAGTGCATTTCACAGCAAGCCCAGAGGGACTCTGGGGAGAGAATAATGATCAAAGTACAGAAACAAAGGAAATTAGTTCTGCATTTACGGTGGCAGGTCGGGACCAGCTGTTTATCCTGAGCTGGGGGGGGGACACCAGGAAAATCATTCACACTGGCCTCGGCGCAAGGAGGCTTCCTGCAAGCAAAGCCCCATCTGCAGCCATTAAATAGCAAATAATAACCAGCGCTAATAATACAACACAGTCTTTTATTCCCAGGGTGTTTCCTTGTCCGTATTCTGGCCTGAAACATCTGTGCCGTCCAAAGTATTTTTGTGGTATCGATGATCCCAGGAGTTTGTCCTGTTAAAAATAAATGATGCTGGAGCAAAGCCTCTGGGACTTGATTTCTCACAAAGATTAGCCTGTTTGGGAGCTTGGGTTATTCTGTTAAGGATTCATTAGGCTATCCATTCCTTAGAATTAAAAAAAGAGACATTTGATATAATTACATCAACTCCTCAGCTGAGATTAAATGAAATAAAGATGAGAATTGGGGTCTTAGTGCTCCCTCCCTAATCGCTGGAGTGTTCCTGCATGAATAGCTTTAAAATGAACATTTTTGGGGCACTGGGATGGGAATGAAGTTTTGAACAACTCTTCACAACAGCTGTTTCGTAGCTAAGCTTTCTGAGCTGTTTTCAGGGGATGATGAGAAAAGCAGATGGAGGAGGTCACGGATCCTTTCTCTGGAGAAAAAAGAAGGTTGGCGTTGTTGAAAAATAGGGAGAAAAAATATTTAAAAGAAGGAAATGAAATAACAATAGTAAACCTGAATACTATTTTAATTCCTGGAATAGGCTGATTGTGGCAGAATTGGCTGCAAGGCCTTTTCCTGTATTTCTCCTTAATTCCAGGAATAGAGGAGAGCGATTTATGCCTTGAAATAGGTGTTGGTGGGGAACCGTACGTAATCTGAGCTGAGCTCCTGGCTCTGCCACAGAGCCAGCCCAGCGAGGGAGAGCCCAGAGCACGGCCACCCTCCAACCTTTGAATTATTGATCTGATGTATATTAATTATAGAGGCTTCTCGGGGTCAGGAGGTAGAGCATGAGGAAGGTGTGTCAGGTGAGGTGTGGCAGGAGTTGAATTTCTAGAGAGGAGGATTTGAGAAGTGGATTAATCAGCATCAGTTTAGTTCAGTCCCTATAAACACACGGAACACGGATAGCAGACAATCTGAGACAGATATAAAAAAACTTTGATGGAGGAGATACCAACTTTTTGTTAAAACAACAACAAGACAACAACCACACACCCCCCATCACCCCCCCCTCCAAAAAAAAATTAGCTGGAAATGAGCTAATTTCAGTCTTTAATTTATCAATACAAGTAATCAAGCAGAGAGCAAGTGCTGGCCTATGTGAGGGGGTTGTTGAAGGACTGGAGGTTAATCATACACCACAACCTTGCTTCGGGTGAGGAATCATTATCCAACTTGTCTTCGTTTTTATTTTTTTCTAAAAAATACAGTGTTCTCCAGTTGGTTTAGGACAATTTACTGGATTAGTCGTTGGTGATTTACTATTAACTCTCAGACGCAACTGCTCATGTTTTTAATCCATTTTACTCCCAGGCAGGGAGTGGTGACGCATCTATTTTGGGGTGGATTCCTCTGTTATTCATTGCTTATCTGTTATTTATTGTGACCCAGCTACACAAAATAACGTTAGGAATAAGAGCCAGCTGAATTCAGCTCATTTGTTTGCAAACCTGTATAATTTTTTAATCAGTGGGTCAGCTAAACAAGTATTATTGCATTTATGTTACTTACCATTTAAAGTAGATAATCTCTTTGCTCTGCTACGCCATTTTATTTTATTATATTTAAAATGCAGCACTAGCGCTGAGAGGCTTTTATCAAAATGAGGCTGACCCTTCCCTTTTCATTATCACAGAATTTCATGATTACGATCACAGATTGTAAGCCTTCAAAACATACCCAGCTGGGAAGCAGAGTCACGGATGTATTTTCTGATTGGATCCCTGGTACCAACATCACTTCTCCCCACCACCAGCCTTCCTCTGACCACAAAATACTCCATTTTTAAAGCTGATTTTTGCAGATGATGCCACCAGGGAGTTTCCAGATGGGCTGAGGACATCCCTGGGCACGGGGGTTCCTGCCGAAATCCTCCTTTGGGCCTCAGTTCCCCAAATCCCTTTTGCAAAAAGCCTTTGCAATGCTGACCTCTGCAGGCAAATAACTGTGTAAAACCAACTGGCTCTGGGCAGCGATAACCTAAATAATGCATAAAACAGGTATTTTATGCATTATGGCTGGCTGTGGGTAACAATACTCTTTTAATAATGCATAAAAATGGGGCATTTCTCTGTTGGTTAGCAAACAGAGTATTTCGGTGAGGGAAATACTGGGAAATCCTTGCTCGCTTGACAGGGGCTGCTCTGTGAACTCCTGTGTTGATTTTTTTAAACAATTTGCTGGTTGGACAAAGTACTTTGCAATCAGGGGACAGATATATGAATGAAAAGCTGGCATTTCACGCCATAAACCCATTAATGCTATAAACCGTGAGTCAAAAGCCCTGCCTGGGCTTCCTCGGGGAGGGACAAAAGGCCAAAACCTACCAGCAGTTCTGCCCCACCTCTAATTAAGCTCTAATTAACAACACCCTGAGGGCCAGGAGGGCCCCTTTGCTTTGTGTGGGGTTAGGTTTGCAGGGTCTCTGAGGGGAAAGTGGGGATGGGGGTCCCAGTGGGCTCAGACCTGGGAGCCGGGCCCTGCCCCTGGCCTAGGCCCAGCCACCTCCTCAGGGCCCAGCTCCAGGGGTCCCCCAGGCCTTGGGGTTCCCCGATGCTCTGGTGGTCCCTCAGCTGCCACCCTGGGGCCTTCCCCGGCCCCACAGTCCCTCCAGCTGGAGCCTTCCCTCAGCCCCAGCAGCCCTGGAGCCCACCCGACCCCGTCAGCCCCTCAGCTGATGCCCCAAGGCCTCCCTCAACGCTCCGGCCCCGGAGCACCCTCAGCCATGGCCTTGCCCCCCGCCCTGGGAAGGCCAGGCCCGACTCAGCCCACAGGGCAGGCCCCAGGCCCCAGCCCTGGTCCTCACCCCAGCCCGGTGCTTTTGAGGCCTCCTGAGGGGGTGGGTAGGCCAGGCCCCCCTTGGGGGCTCCCACCCATCTCCCCAGCCCAAAGCAGTTCCCTGTGGAAAACAGGGGAGATGGTGGCAGCAAAAGAAAGCAGGCAGTGGTGGGTTTGGCTGGGAAGGACTTTAATGTGACCATTGTCCAGGGGTGGGGAAGCGTCATGGGGCGGTGGGCAGGTGTCCTTCCCTGTGGGGGCTGCATGGGGAATGCCGGTGGTTAGGGAGAGCTGCGGGGAACTTTCCCCTGTGCTCTGGATCGGGTGGGCTCCGGGGGCATCCCTGACAGGTGGTCAGACCCTGAAGGTGGCTGAGGAAGAGGCATCAAGAGGGACCCGGAGCCACATGGTGCATGGGGATTACTGCCCCGTGCCCGGGAAGGATGCTCAGATCCTGAAGGACACCGAGAAAGAGACGTCAGAGGGACCCGGAGCCCTGCGAGATGTCAGAGGAACATGGAGTCCTGCAAGGCTTGGGCACAAGTTTGATGGGAGCATCCTAGAGCTTGAGCGCCGTGACACGGGGGATGTGGAAAGGACAGGTCTCCTCTGAACCTGTAGAACTGCAGGAAGAGAAAACACCAGGGAGATGGAGGAGGAGCCCACATCTCCCTTCCCTGTGTCCTCCCACCCCAGGCAGCCCAGCTGCCCACCCTGTGCCTGCTGCTTACATGAGCCGGTTGCGGATGGGGCGGAAGTGTTTGGTGAGCCTGATGGCGAAGATGATGTTGGGGATGAGGAAGAAGGTGCAGCATCCCAGGCTGAACCAGAAAGCATTCTGCAAAGAGAGAGTATGAGAGTCCCCGCTGAGCTCTGCAGGGAGAGGCAGCCCCCCTGCCTCTGGAGGGGTTTGGGGAACCTTGCTGGTGTGGGGCTGCCAGGGATCCTGTTGGCCCTGGCTGCCCCAACTTCTTGCTGGCTGGTGGTGGGATGTCCCTGTGGAGGGATCCTTACCCAGGGGTCGGCAATGCGGTCACACAGGATCACCCGTCCATTGTCCAAGGCTGTGGCAAGCGGCTGGCACGAAGCCACGTCCTCCCTCAGCTGGAACAAGAAGTGGAGACAAGGCATAAACCCACTCCTAGCTTGAGGGGAGGCATTTTGCTGCCTCGGCTGGGTTCACGGCTTACATGCAGCATCCATGGGGGCTCCTGGCCCCAAAGAATCCCTCTGCCATGAAGGTCAGCACTTACCGTCTGCCCGACCCAGTTCAGGTACTGTGTGAAGTACCGCAGCTCCTTCCTCGTGAAGCAGCCGATCTCCTGGGCAGAGGGAAGGCAGCATGGAGGGCAGGCGCCATGCTTTCCAGCCCAGCCCAGCTCCAGCCAGCTCTGGGCTAATGTCGGGCTTGAAAACAAGGGCTGGAGGCTTCAGGCGCCTCTTGCCCTGTTCTCACTGTTTCGTTCTGGCTGTGAGGAATTTTGTACCCCCTGAGGGCTAACCCAGCCCTGGCTCACCTGCCGGAGGATCTGCTGGGCTTGCGCAGGCAGCCGGGCTTCCACTGAGGCTGTGGTGGCCAGTGTCCTCTTCACCCGTTCCTGGGGAAGCATGGGAAGGGCAGAGCTTCCTCAGAGCACCGAGCAGCAGGATGGGTGCCCTGGGGGTGCCAAGAGCAGGGCGTGCAGCACTGTGCACGTGCCAAGCTTCAAATTGGGTCTGGTTGCCAGAGGGCAGGGAAAGAGGAACCTTCTCCAAGCAGAGAAACCCCCTGGCATGGATTAGGGGAGGTGAAACGCCGTGGGATGGCTCTGCCGGGGACACTGAAATGCCCTGAGTGCTGCAGGGGGGTTTCTGATTTGCAGAGGCAAATCTAATCACTGAAGGAGACCAATTCTCCCTGGAGGGTGTTTTTCCTGGCTCTCCCATCACCCTGTAACTGGATTTTTGGGGCCCTGGCAGGCAGGACCTGCCACGTCAGGTCACCATGTATTTTTCAGAGCTGAAAGAAACTGCACAAGTACCTGGAGGTGCGGTGCCAAGCGGGAGAGGAACTGGACGCTTTCCCCCAGCTTTGCCTGTAGGACAGGGAGGTGAGATGGGTACAAAAGCCCCACGGCCCCTTTCATGGGGACACCACTGGGCAAACACCAGCAGCACCGTGAGCCACCAGCCCGGCACAGACTCACCACCAAAGCTTCCTGCGATTGCACCGTGGAGTTTTGCATCTGCCACAGAGCCTGGGCCTCGGCAGCCAGTCGCCCTGCCACCGTGCTGTTCCTCTGCAGGGGGACAGAGGGGTGAGGACGTCCCTGTGGGCACACAGAAAGCCCCCACCGCCAGCCCCACCACTCACCTGCATTTTCTGCAGCCCTTCGAGGCTCCTTGCCAAGCCAGGGAGGCTGGTCTGCACCACGGGGTTTTTCATCTGGGGGAAGATGGAGTTGGTGACTGCCCAAAATCCAACCCTAGAAGCCGGCCCCAGCGTCCTGGGCCAGATCCTGCCCTCTGTGTCCCCTCACCTCCTCCTGGAAGCGCCCGTAGTCCACCTCGTCCACCCCGCTGTGGGCAAAGGTCTCCAGGTCCTGCCTGCCCTCGCTGCGGAGAAGCCGCACATCGCCCAGGCGCGCCATGAAGTCACCCAGGCGTTTTTGGAAATCAGCCGTGTACTGCGGGGGTGAGATGTGGGGGATGCTGTAAGGCTGGGGCCAGGCATCTCCATCCCAGTAACCCCAGTAAAACTCACACGTCTGTACCATTACTAGAAGCTCTGGCTGCAGCCGGCCCTCACCTTGGGGGATTTTAGATGCTCATCCAGGTCGTAGGACCTGTCGAGCTGCAGCACCTCCCACAGCCCCGCGCCGCTCTTGCATTCCCTGGAAGGCAAAGGGACATGGATGGTGTGACCCCACATTAGCCCTCCGATGTACAAGGGCAGAGGTGGGCTCCTGTGGCACCCACCGGTACGTGGCACTGAGGTTGGAGTCCCTCCTGAGGTTGAGCTGTCGGGTGAGGTTCATGGATGGAGGCAGGTTCCCGGGGGTATCAATGAACTGGGGCAAATGGGAGGAAAAAGAGGGTTAGGGTCAGGCACAGGCATTCCCAGCAACGATTTTGGGGGTGCTCTGCCCTCACAGGTGTGTCCTGGGGTACCCGATCCCAGCCAGAGCTAATCTTGCCTTTATTTTTATGATCCCCATTGCAGAGCCTCACCGGGCGGTGTTTGGAGGGAAAGCAGTGGATGGCCCCGTGCAGGGACCTGCCAATATGTGCGCGGCTACGGATGAGCCCTCACCCCATTCCCAACCCTGCTCCCGGCCCTGGTGCAGTGTACAGGCACCCCAGGGATCCCCAAACAACCGGAGGACAAGGTGCTGCAGGTAGGAGCATCCTCGCCTCGAGCAAATTAGCAGCCCAAGGATAATTCCCTGCTGCTGCTGCAAATCCAAGGACCTAGTCTTAAACTTAATCTTCTGGTTTAGGATGGGGGTTTTTCTGGATGGGTTTAGAGGGAGGATGCAGAGTGTTTGGAGGCATTTTGGTGCCCCCAAGCAGAGGTTTGTGGGGCCATGGGTGGCTGCGTGGCTGCCCACCTTGTAAATCTCCTGGTTGACCCAATTCCTGCAAACCAACGTCTGGATGTTGCCCCCAACCAGGAAGGTGGCGAAAACCAGGAGGATGAGGAGCCAGGAGAACAGGAAAGCCAGGCCCACGCCGCTGAAAGAGGGAGAGGAGGTGCCGGTGGCAGCTTTGCAGACCCGAGCGAGCAGAAAGGCCTGTGGGGACCTGCCCAGCCGGCTGCAGCCCCGCGGCTCCCTCCCGCGCCCGGGCACGCCGGGCTGCCTGGGAAGGGCCCCCGGGAGCGGGGTGTGCCGGGCAGCGGGATCGGGGTACGGGACCTGCCAGCTCCCAGGGAGGAGCGGCTTCTCCCAAACCCGCAGGCACAGGCGGTGGCTTCAAAAGCCTTTCCGCTCGTCCCGCTCCCAGTCCCTCCCTTGGCTTTGCCCCTCTGTTTTTTGGGAAGGTGAAATGGCAACACACACCCCCAACTCACCCACCCCCCCAGCACCCAGAGAGATGCTTACACCAGGAGAAACTTGGCGCCAGCTTCTCCTCGGCACTCGTAGTCACTCGGGTCCTCCCGCTTGGAGAGCCCGTACGCCCCCAGGGCCATCCCCGTCACGTTGCAGACGAGGATGAGGAGGATGATGGAGCACAGCACGGTGCCCGCGATCCACCTGGAGGAAGGAGCAGCAGGGCATGGCCTTGAGATATGGGGCTGATGGACCAGCTGGGGCTCAGAGGGGGGCTCAGCACCCATCTCTGCCGCACCCCCTGCACCCCTTCATGCTCCCTGGTGTCACCTGTACCGCTCGAAGCGCTCCACCTCCCGGAGGTACGGCCGGCTCCTGTCCTCCGCCTTCACCAGGGCTTCGCTGACGGGCTGGGTGTAGTCGGGGAGGGGGAAGCTGTTGGCGATGGACTGCACCTTCTCCGTCACGTGGGCCATCTCCTCCCGCAGATCTGTGGGGTCGAGGCCATGCTGGAGGGGTCAGATGGTCCCTTCGTCCCACCCTATGTCCCCAAAGAGGGATGTGCCCCACAGAGGGTGTCCCTGCTCCGTCCAGCCGTCCCACTC